TTACATTTTTGGCCAACTCTGGTGTGTATGCAGAAACGACAAGTGAAATACGTAGCTTATAAAATCATAATTTTATTACATGATACAGCATTCCTTCGTCTCTACGGAATAGTTTTTACAACGTAATAAATGCAGGGCTGACATCCACTAAGCTTTCTGCAAAATAATTTTTTTGAGCAATACGTAATTTAATGATAAAGCTTTCGGAATTCCGCTAATTTTGCCAGCATACAGTATTCTTTCCGACGAGAAAACAAAAAAAAATGTGGCGTTTTTTTTTCTTCCAACTTTTTCATCGTTTAAAAAAAAGTTGCGGGGAAAATTACTTTAAACCAAATTTACAAAATCACGAAAGGGTTAACTTAGCTACCACAAGAAGAAATTTTTCCGAAAAGCGTAAAAAGTTAGCAGGCCTGCAAATGATATTCTTGTTTTTTTCTTTTCTTTTTCCAAATGATATAAGATTTTGCGGTTGATGCAACAGTATTTTCAACGGACCAGATTGAAATTGTAGACTTATATAATACAAGATTTTTGTATAATTTCTTTATTTATAAAGTTTTTCTTGAATAAGAATCTAAACCAATAATGTACGTTCGATAATCGGTGCCTGAACAATCAGGTATTCCTTCTTGAGGTTCAGTGAGTTGCTGGCCGTAGAAGTTCACACAGCGACATTTCCCATATTGACACTGAATCGGCTTAAAATCACCATCATTTTTACACTCAGCTTCTGCATGCCCTTCTAAGAAAAAAGAAAGGAAATTAAGATTTAGGAAAAAGAGAGAGAAAAACCAAAAAAAAAAAAAATAATAATAATTGTTTTGGACATAGTCAACGCCTCCTATAACTGGAAGCCTCCACACTGTTTTTTACAGGTAGTAGTTTGATCAGACCACTATAAAGGTAAAACCATAGAGTAATGCATACCTGCCAACATTCACTCTTTTCGAGAATGGATTTTTCAAGTGGTAGAAAAACTAATACCGAAAAACTCTCTTCCTCAAAAATATATTTATATTTTAATCAAGTTGAAATTAACTATTGCACGAACTAATATGCTTTTACATATTTCTTGTAATTATTTATATGTAGTGGTGGTCAAACTGATTTAAAATTATTATTTTAATTTAAAAAGTTTAGTGAAATAATATGAATTTCGCTAGGACTTTAAATATGAAAAGAAAATCTTCTGGGAAAACCGGAACAATTGACACCTATGGTAATGGGTAAAACAGTTTACGAAAGAGCCATTTAATACAAATCCATACCTGCCAACTTTCACTCTTTCAGAGAATGGATTATCAGAGAGGTTGTAAAACAATAAACGAAAAACAATCTGGCGCAAAAATATATTTATGTTTTGATCCTGCTGAAATCCGCATGTGCAAGGATTATTATGCTTTTATATATTTATTGTAATTATTTATAAGTAGTGGTGGTCAAACTCATTTATAATTATCATTATAATTCAAAAAGTTAATTGGAATAACATGAGTATTGCTACCACTTTAAATATGAAAATAAAATCTTCGGGAAAATCCGGAAGAGTTGGCAGGTATGCAAATGTAGTAAAATTAAGACAGTGGTAACGAATATATCTCTAAAAAGTTTTTTTTATTTATAAATATTATTGGTTTGTCTTATTTACTTGTCAACCACAAATTCAATTCTCAAATATCTATGATGCATTTCTCGCAATTACTTATAAAAAGGAATTTGGATTCAGGCGCACAACTGGTTCACTTTTTAAATAGTCTGCGCAGACTACTTATAAAAAAACCATCGGGTTGCTTCCTGATGTAGAAGGTGATGACATAGTACGATTGTTCAAATGTAATGTTTTGTTTGTTGTGAACAACCAAAGTTGGTGGTTGCTGACTGCCACCGGTGAATGTTGACAATAGTCGCTTTTTAGTTAATGTCCGAACTATATACTAGGTCCAGTTAAGCGCCACTACCCGGTATGCCCTACATCATTGTTTTCTTAAGGTTTGCCATTGCCCGGTATACCCTACACTGATGTTTTTTTAAAGTTAGGTGCCACTGCCCGATATGCATTTAACCTGTACTCCGGACACTGATGTTTCTCCTTATCCATCGTCAGCAGATATTTAAATATCGAATAAATATAATGATATCAGCGAATAAATTAATATCAAATCGGATATACCAAATATTTTGGACATTCACCCAAGCGACTATGTGAATGTTGACATTCAACTGTGAAAGTCGACATTCTCTTGATTTCGGCCATTCAAGGTAGCATATATGTTTGAAAGATTGAGAAAATGAACACTGCTTGAACAACTGTAAACAATAAATGAACATTTTGAAGGAAATATGCATACTTTAAAATGAGAAAAGCTGGACATTAACTTTAAATGAGTAAAAAAAAATAGACTGACCTTCAAATAAAGAAATGACAATAGCTCTGTATGATCGTTAATCAAATTACTCATAGAAAGGTACTTTTTCAGGGTCAAACAATGAATTCATAATTTTAAGATCTATATACGTCTTGAAAAAGTTGCGGACTAATTAAATAAGAAAACATTTAGTTCGTTTAGACACTGCAAATAATTGCTTTTAAGTCCCTAATTCCTTTTAATTACAATAGCAGGGAAGCTTCATTCTAGGTAAATATAAAAACTGGTAGTTAAAGATCGAGGAAATAAAATGTGTTAACTGATTGCTAACTTAAATACTTATGTCGATTTCTATAATTTCTTTGTTAATTTTGTAAAAGAGTAATTTTTTTAAATAAATTTTTATATACAGAGCATTTCTATTTTTCGAAATAAAAATTAGTTACAAATTTACCTATCTAAATTTAATTTTAAAAAAGGAGATTTCTTCGGTCTCCTTAATACATTGGTGTAGAATTTTTTTTTTCACTTTTTAAATCCTTTAAAAAGAGTTTAAACTTATATCAACTAGTATAATTATATATTATATCGAAAAAAGTTTAAACTATATTATCAAATTAAAGCTTCCGATATAAAAAAAATCTGATGTTCAAATTTTGGCCAATTCAAAAGACATAATGCATTGCAGTGCGTCCAAAAAATTATATAAATAAAAAAGTAATAAATAAATAAACGGACTGCTCTGCTTTCCGCAAAAGTTTTTATAAAGCACTTTACTAATAGGTCAACCGGAAAATTTTTGTTTCTAATGCTACTTGTCAATACCAACAAGCCTGCTTGGTGGAACAGTTTCTTGTTTTACAGTGGCTCCATCTATGGCCAAGAATACGACTTCAGCCACTCATACGTCAGACTGCCAACTATTGCACTTTTTGTAAAATAATTTTATAGAGTGCTAGGCATTAAAATAACCAAAGCTTTCAGAACTTTTGGCAACTTTGCCAACATTTTAAAGCCTCACCACGCAAAGGTTAAATAAAAATTGCATTGCTTATGAACTTTAGAATCATTTACATGTAGTGGTGTGAAAAATAATTTTAAATGAGGAGAAAATAACACATTAACACGTTCACGCCGGGGTGACCCACCGGTGGGTCACGCTAGATTGTCTCATCTTGGCAACGCACCAGAGTAAAAACTGGTAACAATAATTTTTTTTTTTAGTTTTTTTCCGGGAATAATAAAAATCCATAACTACCCATTGTTTTTAACGAATGCAATTTTTATATTGAATTGCTTCTTCGCCGTGATAAATTTCCTTACAGTGAATTGTTATTGTTGAGAATAGATTAGCTCCTCCCGAATATTATCTAATATTGAAATAGTTCTTCTACCAGTATTTTCTCTTTTCCCGTATCAGTATTTTCACTTTTCCCGGCGTGAACATGTTAAACATTAACTTTGTTAACACGAGAATAATTTTTACGAAAACTGTGAAAAGTTGGTGGCCTTGTATATAAAGAAAGAATTTGCAGACACATTCAAACTTTTGACGAAAGTTTCCGACTAAACTAAGCGGTACTGAGTGCAAAAAAAATAAATAAATAAATTAAAAAAAATAAGCGGACTACTCTGAATAACTTTTGATCAAATGATTTGATATTCGCGTTCTAGGACTAAATCTTAATGGTTCAAGGGGGTTGACCTCAAATATATTAATTAATTAGTGCTTACGATATTTTACGTTACGGAATCAGATATATAAGCGTACTTTCGCTGTATAAACATACTTTTTTTTTCGACGGATACGGATTTCTGACCCCAAAATTATAAGAGGGAAGCCGAAGCAAAGAATCGGAAATTTGGTCAAATGAGCAATCGAAAGTTTGAACCCCTTAATGTTAATTTTACTCGTCATAACTCAAAAACTTTTTAAGCGAATTGAAAAAAATTTTCTCACAAGAATAAAATTCGTTTATAAAGATAATTCCATTCAAAAAATAATTTTTTATTAAATATTTATTAGTCGGAAAAACTTCTCAAATATAAGTATACAATTTTTTACATCATTTTAAAGTATCTTGTAAAGTATGTATTCTAGAGTGCTGTTCTACGACGAATACCGTTTCACTGTTACAGTTATTCTGGCCACCAGACAGTGTGGAAAGAGAAGGGAACGTGTTATGCACAACAATATGCTCATGAAGGGTAATCATACCTATAATCGCAGGGGTAATCATACAATCTAAGATGCTTATACCTGTTTCATTCTTCCAAAAGAAAAAAAAATATTTTTCCTTGGCGGTATGGAAATCGTCTAATGAGCATATTTTATATTACTTAGTTATCTTACGCTTCGATGAAACAATATTTATACCATTTTGAATTATAATAAATGCACATTGTCTCTATTAACTATGTACTTAGTTTCATTTCTTCAGTCTATGTCTATTATTAATTATTCCGAAAAATGTAACTGTTCCTTAGTACTTGTCAAGCTTATGACAATTAAGTAAATTAACTGGTTACTTACTGATAATCTTCCAATAGAAGCATGGTGGAGGTGGCAATGCTGCAAAAGCAGATGCAATCATAAAAAATAAGACTACATAGTGAAAGAATTTCATGTCGTCTGACCTGCAAAACACATAATTTACTTAACTTTAATTTTAAATTGTAGAATGTATTCCATTGTCTGAATTACTATTCACGGTATCTGTTTTATTTAAATAGCTTTGTAGGTTTAAAAAGTAATAATGACTCTTACAAATTTTAAAATGTGATAAAAAGGAAACAAACATTAATGTTATCTAACGTTTGTGAATCACCACAACATCTAAATAACTGCAATCATAACTAAAATAACTGCAAACCTCTAAACATTGTTATTTTAAAAAGAAAATCTCTGTATTATCACAATTATAATTCTATCAAATCAAATAAAATCTGTATAGGGTCAAAAGTTTATTTATACACAGCGAGACAAAAATGAAAATAAAATTGATTTAAAAAAATAAGTTCATTACTGTCTGTTTTCGGTAAAATTAAAATATCTATGACTCAAGATTATTTTAACAGTTATTACATATATGGGGACCTTTGCTTATAGTATTAAATAAAAAATGAAATTAATTTTGTTTACTGTAATAAAATAAAAACACTTTCTAAGATTGAGATAATTGTTTTTGGAAATATCATTGAATTTATTTTTTTATTTTTTATACTACAACATTTTGAATGCCTATGGCAGTGATTCCCAAAGTGTGGTACGTGTACCCCCTGGGGTTAGGGAGCAGTTTAGAGGGGGTACGCGCTCTTATGCAAAATATATTGCAACAAACAAAAATTTAAAAACAGGACTAGCGATGAAAATTTGCAATTACGTATTTTCCTATTGCCTATTTTTGCAGTTAACAGTTCATAATTAGTGGTGTCAACAGCCAGTTGTGATTTTTAACTTTCGAGCAATTTTTTTATAGTAAAAAATACATTATTTTTTTTATCAGTGGTACACAGCGTTGCGAAAAATTTAGAAAGGGTACACAAAAGTTATAGGTTTGGGAAGCACTGGCCTATAGAAAGAAACATAAGTACTTACCGTTTTAATCTTTATCCAAATGGAGTAAACCAAAAACAATTCTGAATTGAATTAACTAGACCGTCAATGCATTTTAAACGTTCTTTGTCAACACACATCGAACGATGACTCCCATTTGTGATAGTTCAGGTATGTGAAAGCAATGACGTCAGTCTTTAACACCAAAAGTAAATATATTTCGTGAATTAATCATCATTTGTACCCACCTGCTAACTTTTATACTCTCCTAGGATGAATTTCCCTAGGGATATTGATTTAAAATTAAAGGCAAGAATATTTCTTATTGCACCTTTGTATGACTTTTTGTTGTTGTACAACTGTTTGTTGTCTTCAACTACTGCGGAATTATAAGTAATTTTATAAAACAATTTTCCTTGCGGAAGCCAAGGTAGTGTATTAGCCCTTTTCAGTCTAGGTTCTTCCTACAATTCAAAAGTTTATGAGACTAATCTTACAGTTTACACAGTTACTATATAAAAAATGGATACCATAAAACAATGGCTACTACATTTATAAGTATAAAAATTTTAACATTCAGAAGTTACTAAATCAGTCACAAAACCGTACTTTCTCTCATAAAACATAACTTTTTTTTTTCCCCTACAGATTCGAACATGGGGAGTAACCGCAATATGGGAAATATTGTCCTATTAGTTCGGTCGGAAGAACGGTCAAAAGTTTGAACCTCTTTATGTTAATTTCACATCTTTCGTATTTCGCCATGCCTCGAGAAAGTTTTAAGCGAACTAAAAAATATTGTGTGCATAAATATAAAATTCGCTTATCCAAAAGTAATTTAACGCACAAAAATAAATTTCAGTAATTATTTATTATCTATATAAATATTTCTCTTACACGGCGATAAAAAAAAAGCCTCATTACAACTCCCTGAATGGCAACGCTAGAAAATCGACCAATGATTGCAGCTAAAAATGTCACATGTCAAATCTAGCTGTGGTGGCTCAACATATAGCGCTTTTAAAAACGGAAATAACCAGAGTGTAAAATATTATGTGCTTATGCGCATTGTCTTTTGTTAAATAATTTATTTATTATATATTAGTTTATTCGCAATCGCAACGCTCGAGTACGCCGTCTAGCGGGAGCCTGTAAATATCAGACATTAATTTATCACGTTTTCATTTAGTTCAATCAAGATCATTGACTGAATCAGACGCCATTTTTTAGCAGCAAATAAGAAACAAAATTTCCCTAAGGAAAAGGCCGAAGAACTTGAAAAAAATCTCCAGAATATTAGTAAATCTTTCAGGAACAGAACACGCCAAACATTTGAAGAAAAATTC